TTTAATCGTTCGAAATACTCATGTTTACTTAGTTGATGATCAGGAATTAACACTTCGAATGAGAAGTAAATGGTGGATTGTTTGCATCACAAACTGACGTTCGTTAAGCAACTAATGCTAACCAAAGAACACGAAATAAACATTTCGTTTATTAGACAGAAGCCTTACACTCTTGTTGATCGACCGCAGAACTTTCTGATTTTGCAACTGAAGCCTAAATTTGAAACCAAAATATTTGGATTTACGCGCCTCGTGCAAGTCTGTTTTAAGTGACACTTTTCATAACATGCAGATAGGTACTGTATCGAAAAATCTATTTGTTTAAACATACATTAAGTACAAAGGTGAGCATCAATGCCTTTTCAGTCTCAATAAATGTGATTCGGCAATTATGGCCAAACAGAAAAATTAGCTAAAAACATGCAGCAAATAGAGTAAGTAATAAACAGACATACCAACATATTAGAACAGTGAATGTTACAAGTAAATAACTGACAAGTTGTGATATTTAGAAGTGTTAGAATTTTCGTGCTAACTTGGAATTCCTGAAATATCGTAACTTAGATCAAGAAAAAACTAGGTAGGCACAAACGAACGTATTGTATTTGGAAATCGAAACCAAGTACAAAGGAATCATTAGTTCATACAAACACACAAATCTAAATATATGAGTGGTACGGTAATTGGAAGGGTTAGAATTATTTGTTCGTTCATGGGTTAGAATAAAGCAAGTGGGTGTAGTGACCTACATTTATCAACAGAATTTGATTGGTGTAATGGAAATAATTACTATTGCAACCAATTGTACCAGGGTTTGTTTTACCGTACTTGTTTTTCAACTGTACCAAAATATCATACATTCTTCCGTGGATTGTGACCTTGCACGGATTCGGTTAAGCTCAGTAACCACACTTGTAACCTGACACGATCTCGGTATTCTTTCGATACTGCGAGGTCGCCAAGAAATACATCTCGACTTCATCCATCAACTGCCTTCTGATATTTGGCCTACGGGGGATCTTATCGGTTAACTGGCACGTAGTCTTCCTGTAGTGGTGATTATAGTCAACCGCGACTCGACGCCAAATGTTGTGTGGAGTTGTGTTTGTACTTCTGTTGTGCTATAATCTGATGGGATACAGATGCACAGTATCAATAATTAACAGTGATCTAAATAATGTTACATCATAGTAAAAGAAATATTCGCAAGTCATAAGTCATTTGATTACCGAATCAAAACATATGTAAGCGGCTAATCTCCATCAAATGATGTGAGTATTATCTAATTTTCCTAGATTCCATTTGGATATCCCTTTGTACTTGACTGCGCACAATTCAGATACATGTTTTATTAAAGTTATTTGCCAAAGAAACTCCGCAATATAGTGTACGCATTTTTAAAATCGGTAAACTTCTGTAAGCTAAAAACGGCATTTTATTGTACTTGAGTTACTCTTTACTTCTAAAATAACTTGAGGAAAAAGCTGTAGATATTAATCATGTAATTGTGTTACTTATCAGTGGTTTGCTAAACTAAAAGCACGTGATGGTTATTGCTATGACAGGATAAAAAGTCAAAATTAGATTGATTTATTCATTCTGAATTTCGTTCAACATTGAGTCCGTTTTAATTTAATGGAATGATTACTCAGTATAGTGTTTGTTTCTGTTTTCCCGTGTGACATTTTTTTCTGTATTACATACGATATTCTTTTACCTGGTTAACATGAACTAAGTTTGAAGAGATTACGAGTTCACCTCATCTGAAAATGGGACGAAGACTCTGTGACACAATGACAGTTGAGCTAGCTATTCCAACTCGTCCCAGTTCCGCTGTCTAGAGAGAGAAGTCCAAGTTTGAAGAGGGAAATATATTCCACAGGCATCTAGGAGAACGAACAACCAGGACAAGTCTAGTCGGAAATACACTCATTTATATATTGATTCATACACTCATTTTTGATTAATAATTAGGACAAAATCACATGTATTAAAAATACTTAGTTTTAACAAACCATATGCTGAGTAAAGTTCATGTTAACTTAATACAAGAATATCGTATGTTATACAGAATAAAATGTCATAAGGGAAAATAGAAACAATTACTATACTGAGTAATCATCACATTATGTTAAAACGGAATTAATGCTGAACAAAATCATAATGAATAAATCAACCTCACATTGGTTTTTCATCCCGTCATATCAGTTATATATCAGTGTGAAAAGGATGGACTGTCAGGCGTGGATGTTTGCAGTTTGCTGAAGTAAATAAATCCACAAAATAAATAGCTCTGTAAGTCTTTTTCACTATTTTTACTGGACACATCTAGCTGAAGGCGTTCAAACCTTTTCACTTCTGACTTCTGAGTTGATTGGGTTGGGATACTTCGGTTGTAAAGGTGTCATGTGTTGTTACGGGAGAACTGTAGAAATTTGGCTGAGTAAAACCTCTATAATAAATAATATTAATTTCACTGTTTTACTTAACTTTTGAACTTTTTTGTTTATATCATTATTTCGGACATTTTGGTTTCTCTTTGTCTTTGTTTTGGTATTTGGGAGTTTTTTTCTCCGAGAGCCTACAAAATTGAAGGTTTGTTTTGTAATTGTTATAATTATTGTTGTCAGGACGACATTTGGGTCGACTATTTGTAACTTGTAAATAAACTTTCGTATCTAAATTGGAGTTTGGTTCTATTGATAATTTGGGTTCGTAAATTGCAAAGAGATTGATATACCGTACTTCAATAATGGGAACGAGTGAAAACTTGGACGTAACATAAGTAAAGGGGCTGTCAAACTCCGAACACCTATGGCATCTTGAGGTTCATTATCTACGTTTTATAATGTTCCAAATATATTCACTAATTATTCTCAGCTGCTTCTGATGGTTAAGATTATTCCCGTTTGAATTTCAAATGATGCAACTAGAATGTTTATTCACAAGTATTCTAAAGTGTTCCACTGGCTTGAAAAACTTAACAGTCATCTTGTCATTTTGTTACATGAGCATTGTGATAAATGTCTTTCATATAAAGAGTCTTATTTCTTAAGGATATTAGAATGAGAGAAGTAATCTTACAAAAGCGAAGGCTTTGTGTCAGCGAAACACGAGGTTTGATTCATTGAAACTTTGGAATGTAGTCTTCACTTCATTACAGAAAATTTGTCAAAAAAAATCGGCATTTAAAGGAGATGGGTGTTTTCAGAAACACTCAAGTAAGTGCTCATAGACACTTCAAAAACTATAAATGATGTGTTTTCATGATTTCAGAGGTGATTGTGTTAGCAAACACAATCTCTTCAAGCGCTTTTGTTAAAATGCCAACTAGGCTGCCAAAATAGTGCCAGACGCTATTAGACAGTTAAGTGGATTCTCAGCAAAGATACTGTTAGAAACAAGCGAAATTCGCAAGATATACCGGAGAAATTTAGCAATCTGATCAAGCTGTTGATAACAGATTCGGGGATTTAGTTATATGTGTAAGCCTTTGACATATGAAGTACGCATTCTTGCGTTCTGTGATCATTTTCTAGCATCAAGAAAGCTTTAATTATCATGTATTGAACGACGTTATAGTAGGTCAAATGCTCGCTGATCGTTAAATAAAGATGCTTATAACGTTTGTTTGTCTCATATTTTTTAAGCTATTCTACATATTTTCAAAGAGCTTTTTTTGCTCAGGGAGTTTCTAAGTGGCTGTGGATAACTGATTCGAAACTACGTATATTTCTTCGGACAACATCCGAATCATTGAAGCATAGGTGTGAAAGTTTATTATGTAGATGTCATGCCCAAGAATACCTGTGTATCAATAGTCAAATCCTCAAAATCATTAGTACTGTGTACATTATTCCCCACAAAGAAAACGTTTTTGTACGACATGCTTTTCTCCGTTGCGTAATATTTATGCACATGTATAAAGAGTTATTCTTCAGGAAGTTTGACTTCCTTACCAAAATATGAATGCAGTTCTGCATGCAACTTTACTTTCATCTACTTATTTCCCAGGACGATTGGAAAGGACTCAAAACCGAAGGTGAATACAAACAAGCAAACTTTTCATCCTATATTTTGGTTAATATTATACACCGCAGGGCTCCTTAGGTTGAAGAAAAACGACTGAAAATGTTGGAAAAAGCAAGCTTTGGGAAGAGTATTTAGGAATCACACGTTCATTGTGTTCAACCTTGTATGTGGCCGCGTCTTTTTGCCACCTTTACCCCAATAGGGTGTGCAGTTAGCTGTTACAGTGATTAAATCCTCATAATAAGTAGCCTAAAAGTTATACTAGGATCCTGTTAAACGACTCTGACATATAAATTGTAGCAGTGCTTTGGCGATTAGTATATGGAAAGTACCTCTTAACTGAATTTTTTCTCAAGGTTGCTAATATTCGAAGAAACTCCTGGATGTGTTACTTTTGTCAATTATATGAAGGCTAGAGGACTCGATACGATTATACGATGAACCATAACCAACAAATAAAAGCGGCCTCTTTTATTAGCAATCTCTTGACGATCAATTTTTATGCGGTACAGATAACTTTGTTAATCCTATCACTAAGGAAAATAGCAAACAATAGGGAGTTTCAAAAACCTCTAGGTTGTCACTATAAACTTAATACCTTTCTAATTTCTTTTGAATGACTTGATATGAGGGAACACATAACTTGCCGACCGCATGGAACTTGTGAATTTGCGTAACTCCATTGTTGTGACTCTACTTCATTACCTTCCTAAAAACAATTAAACCTCAAAAATCAGTCGATTCTACGGAGTCTGTAGCAGACAAACAGGTGCTGTAGCACATTAAAATTATTTTGAACGTACTTCTACACCAACAACAGAGGATAATTTTATTTATTTCTTTCGAATAGTTCTTCTTCAAGAAGCTCTGAATATTTCACATTGAAAACTCGAAGAGGGTGGTTTATAATTGCAAGGCCACTATCATCTTTTGGGTGGTTTCCGCGAATGGTTGGCAATGGTTGGTTGTTTCTTTTTCTTCATTAACTTCTTTGGCTTATTTTCAGCATCAAGCATAAATTTAAAAAAATGTTTCCATATTGTAGTGACAATCAGAGGTCCATTGCGGGGGAATTCGTTCACTTCAAGTTGTATCCAACACACCAATATTTTGAATTTAAGAATCAAGAAACTGTTGGTTCTGGATATAACGTTTGTTTTCACTCACTCTCAAATTTCTGTCTCGTTTTTCAGACAATCGTAGACTTGGTTACACAATTTTGAAACACCTTTGACAATAACATCTAAACATTAAAAACTAGTCTCTTATTATTTTATATGCGACTGTACAGCCAGGTAATGAATCTGGTTTGAGGACACTTCAGTAAAATTAATGTTCACAATATTTCAATAAGACTTACGGAATAACCGAACTATTGATCCCAACGTTTCAATATATCACGCTTACGAAAAATAAGTCGAGCAAATAATAGTTGAGGTCGTATTTCTTCAAGAATAGTTTTTCCGACAATAATTACCACTAAAATATCAATGTGATTGTGGTGGAATACTTTAGTTGTGACTAGTAACACTATATAGAGTTAAGACTGCTTCTCCGTCTGCAAAGTGATTAACTTCTCCAAAATACCGATAATTCAAAAATCTTATCACTTCTGTTGACATCGCAATGTTTCGATGAATTAGAAGTTTGCCACAGTAGTATGTGGCACTTCACTTTTAGATTCACTAATTGGGTAGTGTTAAGTTTACACACTATCTGCTAATCAGTTAATAGAGATTGAGGCCCTGACCCTTTTATTTGTTGATGTAAAGTTCAGTAAATCGAACTAATATACATTTATGACCAACCAGTTGACTCATGGGTTACAAATAGAAAAGCCAGAATGAACATTTCTGCTATCATATAAATTCAATGGCTATGGAGATAGTTACTTTATAAATTTATGACCTCAATCGGTAATTAATTTAACTGATTTTGGAATCCCAGATATACATTTGACTCTAAGCCACATCCAGGGGTCAGTAGTACTACTTGGCTTCCCGTATAAAATGGGCGGAGAGATATACGAGCCCGTGGCCTTATGGTTGGGAATCAAACCCTCTTACCACTAAGCTATTTATCCAAATTTTGTGGTGTTAGTTTATTACAGGTAACCCAAGACTAGATAAGTGTGCGTTAATTTAAGCTACCACACCTTATATCAACAAAATGAGAGAAAATTTATGGAATGGAAGAAAATCGTGTAATTTTTGTGTTATCTCGTTTACCAAAGACACTTCAGTTTATTAATCACACGTGTACAACTGAGCGGCACGACTAGACAATCTTTTGATTAATGTATTAGAAACTACTCAACGATTCAGCTAATAAATTCTCACTGACCCAGCATACTTGTCAGTCATCAGTTTTAGACATTAGTCCATAGAAATAGGAATGACGTTGTATGTCATGGTCCCTTCCAATGTTTGATTACTGACCAGAAGAGCTTCTAATTTCAGTACTGTATCCATGTTCGGTGCAACGTTATCTGTCTATGGTGTTGTTTCGTATACCAAAGATTAAACGCATTTAGCCTTATCATTAGTCTATTTCCTAGTGAGTCGTTTCTTGTTAGGTTTCTTTCAATTTCTTTCTAATTCCGGAAAAAAGTAATTCCATCGCTGAATACGTCTATCTTTACTAATCTTTTCATTCATTAGTAAAGCATTTCGATCACTGTACCTTTCATTTTATTGTTTAACATTTCAGAAATTTTATTATTTTATAAAATACCACCGTGTTTTCTTTTCGCGTACAGATTTTAATGAAATTCCCTTACGTTTAACAATAGCTTACCATGGTGCTCACCAAAATAATATCACCAGTTGCAGTTTTTCTAATTGTGGTCGATTCTTCGCCTTTGTTGATCAGCCACAGATTGTCTTGGGTTACTGTGTAAATGACTTACTGTAAGTTTTTCTGGCTCGTATGTATATATATGCTTCAACTATCCCCTAGTTGAATGTTTCTCTTCTTGTATATAGACTCTGTATTAAGGCTGTTTTCGTGAGTTTGTTTTGTGCAAACTGCCAGATCCTTTATAGTAATAATGTTCGTGTAAATTTCAACGAAAGTATTTGTTAATTTTAAGTAGTCACTGTTGCTGAGTTATATTATAAACGTGTTGTTTCGAAAACTTGGATGATTCCCCTTTTTAGTTCAAGCTGTTGGTTAGTTTTATCATTCACTATCATACAAACGGGGTGACTCAAAGTTAAATACATAAACTATTTGGTACAGAATTTACACAATTGCATTCAAAATCTACTTGTAGCTATGTAATATCACTATTATAAACTTACATTCAACATCATATGGTGAAATTAGATATTTTATGAAAGTTGCTGTATCAATAAATACAAAGATAGATGGAGATTCAATAATGCATATACTTCCTATAACCATCATTATTTTAATTCGTTACATTAACTCACTCTATCTTACGTCGCCCATCGATTTAATGTTTCAAGCAGCTACTGTAAAATGTTTGACTAAAAATTTTAAAATGTACTTTCTAAAACAAGTTAATATCAGTTCTAGAACAAGCGAAGACTAGGAGGCACACAACTGTTTTATCCTACTTATAAGACACATTACTTCGCACAGTATCGGATTTTCCAGTCACCTTCAGTTTTTCAGATAGTGTTAATTGATGGCGAATATTACTTTTGAATTTGATAAAACTCCTTACTAAACTACCTGAATAAAATATTCAAAGACTTAAATGGGATTCTGCATTATTTGTGCATTAAATTATATTACAGACTTTCCTCATTCTTCTGGTGAATAATAACAACAATAATAATTCACTAAGTTTATTTTTTGCATCATAGACTGACCTTAATTACACCTGTGCAGTTCTTCCTCGTGTCTATTTACTATCTAACTAATGTCAATCCGTTATGTAACCTTTAGATTTTGATAATCTCCACAAACCCTCCGTAATAACAAGCTTGACGGTTTATTATTTTGTGCTACTCTACATAGATCAACGAGTTTGGATGAAAATAATTTCAAACCATCTTTATCATCTCATTGTCAAACATCTAGTTTGTTGTCAGATGAAATTATTAACAATACAGAATCATTAAATTTATATGCAAATCTTACAGATAGTAGTAATAACTGGAAAATATTAACATCAGAACTGCTACATGGTGATGCACTACATGTAAATATGAAGCCAATATTTCGTATAAAAACTAACGGAGATGTGATTAGTATGACTTTTGCCTCTGGGGATAGTGCATTTTGTCGATTGCCCCACCGTGCAAATAAGCGTAGATCGTCTATTGTTCGTGAATCACAAGTCTCATTATTACTGTTGGGTTTAGCTTCTGGTGTGATTGAAGTTTATAATGTATTTAGTCTAGTATCAAGTTCTCCACGTAAGTTTTGTTTTTGTTCTTTAGTATGCTAATTTGATTTACATATTCTAATTGTTTCCTCAATAAATATGATGGTTTCATTTCATATATCCTAGTATATTACGTACTACATACGATTTGATTTCGTAATAGAGGAGTTCTCTGTAATTTCTTGTTATGTCTGAGTCGCTTATTACTTATTCGTGGAACGAGGAACCACTACAATTTCCATGACTCAAAGCAAAAACATGGAAGACTGGTATAATTTAAGGTTTGTTCACACCGAAAACGCAACTACGACTCTAGTCGAAAATGCACTCATTTATACATATTTCATCATCAATCGGTAAACAGTCACATATATAAAATTATAGCTAAATCTTATGCTGCATTTCATGCTGAATAGTTTACGTTAATTTTATACAGAGAATATTATATCTTAAATAAATATCACACTGAAGTAGATTAACGTTCAACTGAATAGAATAGCACACTGCATAATCATCATATAAAATTAAAATAACGAAAGTAATGTTTAATGAGAGTCACGATGATTTGAAAATATAATTTTACTTTTTTATCTTGTTATGTCATCTCTCAATTGACTTCAACCAATTCAGTATGTTGTGTTCACTTTTATGTACTGATATCTGTAAAAGATTGTAAATTTACTTTTACCTTAGTCGTATGTATATACCTCGAAGAGAATTGAACACTGAAAAACTGTTGTTCATCTTCTAGGTGCAAAATTTCTTGTATTTTAGTTTGTGAATGAGTAAAAGACTTATTTACTTCTAATAATTACTTCACCCACTTATTCCTTGTTATACATTTGGGTATCATATATTTATTTTGATTATAAAGCTATATAGAGTCCCATAGAAATGAAGAAGAAAAAGTGCTTCGCTGTACTGCTTGCTTTTAACAGAACAACCGACTAAGTAGTTCTGAGATTAATATCAATTTTCAAGCTAAGATTGCAAACTTTGGTCAACTGAGTTAGGGTTAGACTTAAACAACACATCCCAGTTACTACATTCCAGACGTGCAGTAGTCGTGTGGAATAAATTTGGAGAAAGCTATAGGAAGCTAAAAGAAGACGGTATAATATCAGTTCGTGAAAGTATTTTTTGAAAAATGTAATGTATTTCTTCAAAACACATTTTAGAGAAAATTGGTCACAAACTTACTTGTCAAGAAATTTTTAAATAAAGGCAAATTAAGGTCAAGTAAATGCGTAGTGATAATAGAAATACAAAATTTTGAAGACACTAACCGAATGAACCAGGACGGACCTGAAGAGGATGAGAAATCATTATAAGCACACTAGTATGATAAATGTTTTAATAACCAAAACTTAGGAATGCATTTTCGAGAATTCAAAAGCTGTTTTCATGCCAATCTTATGATCGTTTTGATATGGAGAGCAAATCAGAAGTATCAAAATGCCAATCGTTGGCAACCAGAAGTGACCTAATGGTTAAATGCATTGCATTGGGATCAGTGGGTCAATTTCCTAAGGATAGAGTGGTATATACGTGAATGAGTATCTGTACACCTCATTCGGTAGCCCAGTACACTTCCTCGGTCAAAGCCACGTAAGAAAATGTTCCAGCTCTTCATTTATGGTAGTGATATTCCACATGAAAATCACATCTTTTAGATCAGCTTTGTTTTACCACTACACTCTCCATACGTGCTTTGTTGACAATCAATTGATGAGGTTGAGAAGTTTCACCGATCGGAGTGTTAAGGATATGTATTCCGTATACCCAACCACTACTTTTCTTGGTGCACAATATAATTTGTAATGAGAGTAGTTTGAAAGAAAGCTAGTCATAGACGATCCGAAATGCTACATCAGTTTACGGAATTGTTTATAGCTGAAGTGAACTGTATTAGTAGATCTAGACAACCTGTCCAAGGTCTACACGGTTAATTTTGTTAAATAAATTCTTCTTGACCTCTGTATAGGGATTTGCTGGACAAATTAGTATTTTAGTTTATTATAACTTGTTTTTTTAGGGTTTAGTAACTGTACATATCAACTTTGAGTTCATGTTTTCTGATGTCTTTCTATAGATATCCCCAAATATGTCTTGACAGATGATTGTACCCTTGTATATCTCCTCTCAGCTGCTATAGACGGAAGTCTTCGTGTTGGTTCCGTACATCGTGGTGGTGAAGTGAGATTATGGGATCTATGGGATGATGGTAATATGTACGGGAAATTACAACATAAATTCACTATTCCAACAGATCAACCATGCAGTGAAATTCAAGGTGAAGCATGTACATTTGCTTGGCATCCATGCGGAAGGCATGTATTCCTAGCTGGTGAAAGAGGTCATGGTGTTGTACTCGATGTAAGATGGTTAACTTTGATTTTCCTGTCGTTCGTTTCAAGTTTAAAAGATAGTCAGAAGTGATGCCACGTGTTGCTAGGGCTATAAGAGTATTTTTCGCTTTCCAGTCGCCATACTGTGGAGGCATATTTCTTCTTGGGGTATCTACAATGGAAAACGGATTTGTAGTGGTCTCAGCGACCTGGGAAGATGATCACAGAACTCAGGAGACAAATATTTGATACCGTCATATATGACAATTCTATAGCAGGTTTTTGATGTGTTATCTCGATATTTCAAACTCCTTTCCACCGGAAACCAAAATCCATACGGGTAAGCTAAGGTGCGACAGTTTTAGGATCGACCTTTTATAACTCCTTCCTTCGGTTTTGGGAAGACAGCATGACTGCAGATGCTGGCTCTCTAAGGGAGACATCCTACTGCTGTCACACCCTTGTACAGTCAACAGTACAGATGCGCCCACGAGACACGTTGCTTTTAGTCTAACTGTTCTCCAACTGACCTGCTTAGCATTATGGGACCTGTTCTGGCTTCAATATCTGACTCCAATAAATAATATCTCGTTAACTGAGTATTTAATGCAGGCTAAATCTCCTGGTAGAATTATGGATTTTACGCGAGATTATTCAAAAGCCCGAACACCAGTTGTAGAGATAATTTATTGTTAATGATTAATAAAAATCCGCAAGCGTACAGCAAGCAAGCACACAGTGAAGCCAAATAAAAATGATGCGCAGTGGACATGGGTGGTAAGCCAACTCCCCTATAGTCAAGCGTTACTCAATATTTATAGTCAGACAGAATAAAGCTACAGACATGTGATTAATTGGATAAGAAGGGCACACACATATACGCTCATATAAAAACAGTCTAGATTGATAAGCGAATAAATGACAAGGTCAAAATATGACTCAAGTAGAATGAATAGAATGGGATGTCCGAAAGCTAGAATAAGGTATATAGGCTTAACATAATGACTGACACTACAGACCTAAGGGAACAAGCTGATATGATGGAAAGAAAAATCAATTTTCGATTGATTTACTTATTATGAGTTTTATCAGAATGGGTTAAGTGGAGAGTTTAAGAAATTTCACAGGTTGAAATCATGAGTCAGTTGAAGCTAGAGCACCATTGAAAACCTGGAAGCACTGGACGGCCGTTTCATCCTAGTATGGGACTCCTCAGCAGTGCGCATCCACGATCCCGCATCACGCGGGGCTCGAACCCAGGACCTACTGGCTTTGCGCGCGAGCACTCAACCACTAGACCACTGAGCCGGCATCCAACGGTGTTAATGTCTAACTTCAACCAATCCACGAAGTTGCGCCACCGTACACCATTGTCTTCAGTGAATTGTTATCTCACAACAGGCCGGTTGAACTCCACTGGTAACGGCTTCTCACTAGAACTCCAGCAGCTTTTCCTGAAGTCAGTAGGTCCTGGGTTCGAGCCCCGCGTGGTGCGGGATCGTGGATGCGCACTGCTGAGGAGTCCCATACTAGGATGAAACGGCCGTCCAGTGCTTCCAGGTTTTCAATGGTGCTCTAGCTTCAACTGACTCATGATTTCAACCTGTGAAATTTCTTAAACTCTCCACAAAACCCATTCTCTGATAATAATCAACTGCTCACTAGTGACTGACTTCAGGAAAAACTGCTGGAGTTCTAGTGAGAAGCCGTTACCAGTGGAGTTCGACCGGTCTGTTGTGAGATAACAACTCACTGAAGACAATGGTGTACAGTGGCGCAACTTCGTGGATTGGTTGGAGTTAGACATTAACACCGTTGTATGCCGGCTCAGTGGTCTAGTGGTTAAACAGTTGATATTTTGTTTTTTCTATCTCACTAAAAGCCAACTAAAAATGGACTATATTGATAAGGATGATGTTCCAGATTTGCACATTACCCCACGTAGTTAGTTTGGGCGACTGCACTTAATATGTGGCTGTGATGTCCCGATAAGAATAATGAATGGTAACTTTTTGGGATCCATTTAACGACCAATACTATGCGTACATTTTTATCGTATAATTGTCAAGTATCTAAACTGTTCATATTCATGTCCCTCTTATTATAAGCTTTATTTTGACCTATAACCTTTTATTATACGACTTACCGTTCTTGAATTATGCCCTGTCTATTAACCACAACCTCCCACATTCACAGCTACATTTATCCAAATCCTATTTTATTGGTACGATGTGGTTTGTTTGATTAGTATATAAACCCCGTATGTTTGAGATAAATGATTCTTATTGCAGAGACTGAGATCGGTTTTCTGGACTTAATAGGCTGGGCTAGGCGCTAAGCAGGATCAGTAAGGACTCTAGACTGCTCGTACGGGTTTTATGCGTCACTGGTTCGATCGACAATTCACTGCTCTCTAATTGGTGGTATCGTTACGTTACGCATTAACAGGGCACACAGGCCAAAAGTTATTACCGTGGCTCGTAGCCAAGTAAAGAATCTGTGCATGGTAATGAGTTAATAATAATAGTAGTAATAATAATTCCTTGTGTCCTTCATTTCGAATTCTCTATTAATCTCTTCCTCTGTTATCTAATATGTAATTCGTTGACGCAGACAATGTAAATGTCCATCATCTTTAGTCATTTTGAGGTTGGTGGCATATTCTGAATATTTAATAACCAGTCATTCAAAGTTACAATTACTGTTTACGTGTATGACTTACTCCTAAATACTCATTCTGTTTCACTCCTATTACTTTTTGGTGTATGCGTCTCTTTTTTTTCAATTGACTACATTTATTTCCTATCCTTGCGTCGGTCATATGATTTTATATGTATACTAAGTGATCATGTGAGCCTGGTACCTAAACGGTACAAAGACGATAGGTGAAATGGCTTGGGGATCTGAAGAGTATGGTTTCGGGCTGAGTCACCATCCGGGCTGTTTAATCATAAATTGAATTCAGAAAGGTCGTCCGTAAATACATGATTATGGCAAGACATTTTAGATTGAGGAATAATGCAAAACAATAAGCCATTTAATAGCTCAGACTTCTAGGCATTACGAGGTATGTTTTGAATTATTAGAAATGGAAGTTAAACAAATGTGCTACCTGCACTTGAAGAGTATTTTAAAAGCAATAGGATTGTGGTATCCTCCAATTCGTGAGATAACGTCTTCCTAATCTCAGTTTGTATATTTATTTCAATAGGCCAGTATGTTTTATTGTGGTGTGTGCTACTGATGTCGACAGATATAAGTAATGTGTGTCATTTGTCGAAAGTGAAATGCCTGGAGGCAGAAGGTTAAGAAGATCCAAGAAAATAGATCGAGAACAAAGAATGATTGGTATTTAAACGGAAGAATAATGAAGTCTGAGATTATTGGTTGACGTTTTGTAAATGAACTATTTACTGTATGGTTTTCAGATTTTACTAAGATGTTCTGTAATTTTGTATTCAAATTTGTTTGTCCTCACTTATGTTCTCGTTCACTACACTATCACCATCTTTTAACATTTCTTCGATTAAGATTAGATTATCAATCACTTTATAATGATTACCTTAATTTTGCCGAACAATTAATGCACTTGTGACAGTGAACACACTGTACCAATTGGAGTGGTGGTTTAGAGGTTAGGGCGTTCGATTTTTAACCTCTAAATCTCACTCACCTTGCTTTGAGCAAGTAGGTATTATCATTAGCCCTCAAAATCAGAGTGTGGCTCATACTGCAGTATCTGGTGAATGAGTTGATGTTACTAATTAACCCATTATTCCTATCTTACCTTGGTTCTTTTATTTGTCAAGGCTGAATCTCCTTTTTCTCGAGTCGCCTACATACGATCTGGTCATTATCATCGAATATCAGTTGCAAAATTTTCAAAAGATGGTAGTTTATTAATTACTGCCTCTTATGATTCATGTTGTGCTGTATGGTCTGTACCGGAATATCAATGCTTACATCGTTTCTGGTAAGTAATTTCCCAAACATATTGATCAACAGTTAGTGTTATGTCTTGTTGTTCGATTCACTTGCAAGTTATTGACTGCTTAACACTCATGAACTTGAAACGCTTGAGTTTCAAACTCTTGGTCAAAGGTTAGGGGAGAGGCCAAACTACAGGCTGTTAGGAGGGAGGTTAAGATTTAACTTATCACGTGGAGTTCCAACGAATAGAAAATATGGAGACGTTTCAACCTAACTCATACTCACGCACACAATAAAGGAACAAAGCTACACTATTCCCTAAAGAGTTTTTTCCACTTTCAGTTCAAGTAATAGCATTACAATGACGTTTGCCGATATATAAGTATTCATTGAAATCTGAACAAAACAATAACAAAGAACATAAAAGAATAAGGTGAACTCATTTCGTAAATCTTCGTCAGCTCATGTTTATTTATAACCAATATACATACTTTATGTCATATTAGTGAAGATTAGTAGAATAACGACAACAGGCATGGGAGTATTATAAAGTGGTAACGTGAAGAAATATTTCCATGTGTTACGTCCTTGATCTGTCTACCCACTTTTGGTGCTGAGGATAACTTGTCTAATCTAGATTAAGACCTTGACGCATTAGGCTGACCGGCTTAACCGTGAGGCTAGTACGCGTAAGTTCGAAGTGGGGTAGAGAGAAGAAAACGATACTATCACATGACTGGCTGACAAGCACGCGAGTGAGAGAAGACAAGACAACTGAAACACTACTCGATCTATTCCCGATTTTAGATCAGTGTAAAAAGATACGTGAATAAATAGATGACTAGCCCGACCACAACGTACAATAATTAGGAAAATACAATCATGTCCAAACCCAGGGAATTAGGGTAGAAAATATAATACAAAATAATACGTTTAAATCACAATAGCTTTGGAACGAAAAGGGTTATGACAGTAAATCATATATCAAACGAAAGCTTATGATATGTAGAATAGACTAGGGACAAAAATAAATGGTACAGTGAAACTAGTTTAGCGGCTAGATACGTCGTCTTGAATACAACATTTTATCCAGAAATAATCGTTCCATCTGTTTCATCTCCTTTAAAATTAAGCCGCCAAACAACTTGCTTTTTTACCGTTATAGATTCCATTCTATTGTTATTGTTCCACTAATCTTCGTTAATATGACATAAAGTATATCCATTGGGCATATATAATTATCTGCAGGTTGTTAGCGGCTGACGAGAATCCACGAAATAACCGAATTCATCTTATCACTGAAAAAATTTGTATGTAATCAATTGAAATATTAAACAACCAAATATTGTTAGAGAATGAAAATTTTCATGTAAATAGGATTAAATATTCCTTGTGAAGACATTAAAAATAAAAGTTAAATTGAAAAAAAAGATTCCTTTTTTAATTAGTTCTTTATCTCATGGCTCTACATTAATATCTATACAGAAGTTCTTTTTTAAATTAAATTGTACAATGAACACCAAATACCCTATGTATCTCAATATTTTCTCTAAATATGCTAGCTCAATGGATGCAAAATTAAAACTTAAGAAACATTACATAATCAGTTAATCATTAGCATTAGTTACGTAAGGATAACAGTAAAAATTAATATCAGAAGGGGTTTTGTGGAGATTTTAGTAATTTCAATAATTGAGATCATGAGTCAATTTCGTGGATTAGTTGAAGTTAGAAATTAACACCGTTGGACACTGGCTCACTGGTCTAATGGTTAAGCGCTAGCACGCGAGGATGATAGGTCCTGGGATCGAATCCCGCTAGGCAGGGTCGTGGATGCGCACTGCTGAGGAGTCCCACAATAAGACGAAATGGTCGCCCAGGGTTTTTCATGGTGGTTTAGTTTCAATTGACTCATGATCTCAACTATTGAAAGTAAAAATTAAGTTCGAAACTAAGTGATTCAGTATAAAGTTTAGTATTATTTGTAAAATTGATGAGATACGTAATTAATAAAATGGATATAAAGAAAACTAAGTAGTCAAATATTGTAATAGAATGAGTACTTATGAATATGATTAACATTTAGCTTTGAAAAAATGTTAGGAGTAACTAAGTAGCAGGCAAGGTATATTTAGAGCCTGTACAAAAATTTTTAAAATACAAGAATTGGGTTGATTTATGTGTGTCCATATAACGTTTGCTGCATTTAAGAGACAAATTCCGAAAGTTTAAAGCAAACTCGATAGGATTCTACGCATAACTTTAAAAGCTAAATTTATATCGATATAATTACCGATATTGACTAAATTTACCACAATAGAGCTTCGTAATGTTTTCTTTTGTTCTTTTGATCATTCATAAAACATGGTTTTCAGAAATACAGTGATTTATTTATATAGTTGTACACCTAGTAGTTTACTATTTTATGATGAGAAAATCGACGCAAAATAATGACAATTCGAAACCTAAAATAGTTTGAGCAAGCAATATTATTTTTCTTAATATTTCCCAATGGAATATTCAAACATAAGTAACATTTAAATTTAAAGTGAATTTACAGTTCATTATTGATAACTATTGCTTCGAATAGTCATGAAATTTAAACGTGTATCTAATTTTATAAACATATCATGACATATAACTAGATCTTATTTTGCAAGCGTAAAGCTAAATCATTTTTTCCAATGTAACAACTCAGTTTCTTTCTGAATCTTTTATACCGGAGTGTAGATCACCAACGTAGGTGATCTGTGCCGATGATTATGGATCTACACCAGTTAGACGGCAGTAGTGTGACCTAGTGTACATCGAAGTAACGCTCCATGGTTAATAATTAACTTGGACTATGCTGTCGTGATAACCAGGCGAATCAATTTCCTAAGTGACTGGCTAGAATAAATACTCTCAATAAGCAACAGCATATATTAGTATTAATAAGCTATAGAAAGAAGTAAAAGGATAAATCACTGCCGCAAGCCCCTGTCCATGGCAGTAATTAATTGATGTGTGTCGGTTCATGATCTTGACTAGGATTGACTAATCGTTTGGCATTCAGCGACTTGTCTGCCGGATGATTTGGCTGTAGCCTAGTGATATTTCACTGGGCCTACAAGGGTCTTGATGTAGTTTTTGTCAAACAACTCATAATTTTCACGTTGTTTATTTTTTTTGCATAGTCATCATTAAGTCAACCAAATGGCGGTAGTGCATAATGATCCAGTATTCATATTGAAATTTTTAGGCCAAAACAATGCTTATTATCTTCGTATATTGCTAATAATGAAATTCTAATCAAAAATTGACCTTGAACAGACATAAATTGAGTCGGTTTACATTGATTTATGCTACCAACATAATTTGCATAAGAGCAGGTAAATATTCCGGTTATCTATGCATTCATGCCTGCTTTTTTCAACTCAAAGCCTCTGAATTACTTGAATCCACTCATTAATCAATGACAAGTCAACTTAACCGCACTGCCCTGGAATTTTATTGATTAGTTCGTAATAATTCCTGTAAGGCAATCATAAAGTACATGTCTATCCACCGTAATTTGAGTCGTAGCTTAAGCATAGTGCTTACTATTACTCAGGTGCATTAGGTGAAATAGGGTTGAAACTTCTTATCTGATATAGCTAAGATCTGATGTTAAATGATTGAGGGTAGTCGACAAAATAGGTTTCGTGCTCTTTAAAATTAACCAGCGCGTCATACCTTCGAATTTAAGGGATTCGATACTCCCTGAGGGACTAAAACTCACTTTATACAGCTTCACAATCTCTAACATTATCACTGGGCTATAAGGGCTTTGACTGTTCCGTAGGACTAAGATATTTACATTAATTGGTCATTGAATAGTCGCCCATGACGTGTTTGTCTAGACATTAGTGTTAACCTTATTCGATCGATCAAGTTGAAGTCTGAGTGCACATTACCCATTGAAACAACTATTCGTCTATTTGTGTTCAGTTATACGACAGTAATCTACTTAAAACATCACTAATATCTGTTTTCTTTTCTGTTCTTTTAGGCATATGGGACGTGAACCCAGTATTCCTCTTCGTGGTGGATCAAATGGTCATCATATATACGGTTTATCTCTGTCCCCAGATGATTTTTACTTTATTACCGTTTGCGAAGATAGGCAAGTAGTTTTCATTCCAAGAATCCATTCTCCTTGAATCAGATTCTCTATACCTAATGTTTTCTATTATTGCTGATACTGTTACTACTTCTATTACTTTTGTATTTGTCTTGATAATTTCATTTCTCAGTAGTGATATGGTGTGGCAAGTTCGACTGATACACATATATGCCAGTTTCTACATTCCTCGTAACTGCATCAGCCAGTTTGTTAGTGGTTCTATCCTTTTGAATCTATTCGACTGAAGATTAAGAGACTTACAACATGTATGTTAGACCATTAGTTCAATTTACTCGGTAATTTGTCAAATCACAGCATAATCAAGTAGAAAAATGGTGCTTCGGAACGAATAGCCTCCTGATTTTCCTCTCCTAACCGTAATTACGACTTTGGCTTGGTAGTAGGGCTTGCTTGTCATAATGAACCAGTCAAGCCATATTACCTGAAGCACTCTTTCCTTTAGATCCCACCATACCTGACAAGTTAGTTGAAGAGACTTAAAAATAGGAGCAACAAACTCTTTCAAAGACGAGCTCATACCGCACTAGGGTGTAATGACAGTAAGGTGTTTTCATCCATACAACTAATATCTACATATATTTTGTTTTCACACAACAAAAGGCGGAAGTTAGAAAAAGCCAGTCCTAACATTACCATACCTTAATCTGTCCTACGAATTGACATTACAGGTGATAGTCTTAAAAGTACATAGTTAATGCATCTAAAACTATACACAGAAAGGACATGTTATGACCACTTTCAACCAGATGTTCCTTGGGTAATGCAATCATACTTCCAGGTCAACAAGACCACTCCTAACCCAATTTTATCTCCATATTTCTTTAGAAGAATTATCCTTAAACGGTATGGATGATCAGGAAGTGATGACTCGCCCGATACTTCTAACACTATTACAAAATTATTACCTATGCTCTATACAGTATATCATATGTGCATACAAATATATGTGTTCAATAATTTTCAATAGAAAATTACCATATATAATCTAGTGATTGTTTTTACAGTTTAATATAACAACGGAAATGTACAGCCTTTTATTCATTTATTTGTTTGCTCCCACTCTCCTCCATAGATGTATTCGTTTGTGGCCATTGGCTCCTGTCAATTCTCCATTGAAGATCTATTTCGAACTTGCACTCCAAACTCATACTAATCTTAAATTTCGCAGCTTAGCTTTCAGCCCATGTGGTCGTATAGTTGCTGTTACGTAAGTTCTTGTGTGTTTCTTTATAATTAAGGACATGTATTGTTGATTCATTACTAGACTGCATATAATCATCTTATATGTAGAATTCTAAATCATGAATCTTATCATAATCTACTTCTTCAATATTATATATGTTCATTCAAGTTTACTCAAAAAAGTAAGCAGTGATCGGCTTATATCATAAGTACATGACGTACTTTTATGCTTTGAAATAAAGTACAATTATTCTGAATTATCAATTGTTAGAAGACGTTGTTCAATAGATCATGACCATTATTACCTACAGTACGTTAACAATGATAATAATCACTTACGTGATTAAAAAGAGAAGACATAAAGTTTCATGATCAGTTTAATATTCTAAAAAGTTAAAATCATATTATAACAAGTCCGTTTACTATAACAATAACTATGGTATCAGGACATGACAAGCATCAATTACCAGGGGAAACTAACTAATTATGTAGTAACAAAGGTCAGTGCAGTAATGTGTATTATACAGTTTTCGAGAGCCTCTTTACACTTGTCGAAACTTAAATTTATTAACGAAAGTAAAAATGTTAGGTAAAATAAGGCTTTCCAAGCATGAATGAATTAAATTTTTAAGTGTTATAACAAAGCAATTTTGTTGTAGACTTGATAGTCAATCATTCTAGAATAATTTAAACAGTATAACTGAATAATAATTGCTCACAAGCCTGAATTATTAACCCAAGAACAACTTAATAGTTAAGAAATGAGTCGTTTTATATACCAGAATTTCACATTTGATAAGTTGAATTTATCAAAAACGTTTTTAATGCTCAATAAGTGTGTTGTATCCAACGCTCTTGGCTTTATTTCTGTGAATTTAATAACCGAACGCTGTATATCATAGTGTTATTTTCATCAGAGTTTATTTCAATCCCTAGTGTACACTAAATTTGTGTTTTTTTGTTTGGCATATCAAGGAACCTCTACACTAGACATGTTCATGACAGACATTTTAGGATAACCTTAACTCGCTTAAAATAAAATCTATAACGAAAATTGTAGCCTCATATGTCACACTTATCTATTAAATGAACGAAAAAAAATGATCGAAACTACTGATAAGAGCACATTAAAAACGTTACAGATAACCTCAGCTATTTAGGTTTTGTACGATATTCATCCGCCTAGGTATCTAAAATCATTTGTACTATCAACGTTACATATTACATCCACAGTATATAATCATGATCCTTCGAGTGAAATTCATCAAGTTTTACTGATGTATTTAAAATGAAAGCAAATATTTGTAGCTTAAGTGGTTACTTTGTGCTGGTGTTGTGTCGGTTGATATGGATAGGGTTTAACTATCATTCTGAGCAACAACAACATCCTGACCATGAGCGCTTTGTTTATGTAAAAGTGAGATGCTTTAAAGTTATTTCACACAAGCAATAAGTCAATCTGTTCTGATAATCTTGTTTCTGACTCGTCTTCCCAGATTTTGTTATCTTCAGTAAAGGGAGTTTGTGAAGATTGTTGAATTTCAGAATTTACATCGCGAAATAATTTAGTTAGAAAACCATTAAAAACTGGGAAGCTCTTGAAAGCTATTTCGTTCTAGTATGCGGTTCTCCATCTATGTACATCCACTACCTCACCAAGGACGTAACTCGAGACCTCTAGGTATTTTGTTTTCAACTTATTGAATTGGCTTCTCATGGTTAACATGTCTGACTTCAATCAATGTACGATACTGTATTTTCATCTTCCAATGCTATTGATAGGTGAACACCACTGGCCACTGCTTCTCACTAGAGCTTCGGGAATCACCTCCTTGAATTAATCATTAGTTGACATATAATTATTAATAATAGATATAGACGTTTCGAAGAACTTTTTGAATTTTATAGTTTACAATTATTGTAACCGTCTTTATGCCTTAACGTTTCAATTGTGTCTGTTTTGTCTGGTTGACCTCTTAATATGTTATTGATAATCAATCTAATTTTTTCCGCTTACATTTTGACCTACTTTGAATATAGAAATATTTTATTATAATGTCGTTAGTATTGTCACTATTGTTATAACTATGACGTGTTACTATTAATTTTTAGCTGTAGAATCCATATCATTGGATCGTAGATTTCCTTGTTTAGTTAAATGCGTGTAGTAGTAATAAAGTAACTGGATTTAAAGGAGTAAAGCCTGATTGACAACAGAAAAATATTCTTCGCTTATATATCCTACTTCAGTCTATACAATAGAAATTTTAATCATTTTTCGTCAATAATATGGTGGCTCACCAATTTATTGGCCTATGTCGCTTTGACTCCAATTTCAAAAACAAAACGAATGAATATGCCATGAATATAAATGTATATGTTTCATGCCGCCAAGTTACACATAACTTTCTCGACTAAACCAGTACTCACACAACTAATCAAGGATAAGTTACCGAAGATGGGCTCCTCCATGTGTGTATACCAATTCAACTGCTCCTGTGGAGCTAGTTACATAGGCCGTACTCAGAGGGCTTTATCCTTGCGTGTTCGTGAACATGTACCAGCATGGTTGGGAAAAGGAGTCACCAAATCGATTAACAGCATCATCCTTTCTCACTTGGTAGATAGTGAACATCATATCAAAATAGAGGAAGCTTTCTCTGTCTTATATCAAGTTCCAAAATATCTACCTCAAGGAGCTAGATTACGACGGCTTTACACAGCCGAAGCCATCTGCATCAACTCCAGAAGACCTAATTTATGCATCCAGAAAAAATATATACAGCCTCTATGTTTACCCTGGTCTACGACTGGATCACCAAATACCTAGACTGAATATTATAAACCGCTTACCCCTTCCTTCCTTCATTTTTATTTGTTTTTCCTTATTATCATTCTTTGTCATTATCTATATCTTAATCTTCATATCCATCATTCCCAATTTGTCGACCGTAATTACCTTGATAACACCCCCCTTATTACATATTATATTCACACAACAATATTATTATTATTATCTCAGTTGACAAAATTATTTTCAATTTTGCAATAGTACTATTATCTTACTGTGACTGAACAATTTACTGACCTTTATTGAATGACCTTTCTAATTTGCAAATATTACAATTTTTTGAAGTATATTTATATCGTAACAGATGCAAACGTTTACCATTTTTAACACATAACATTGTCAAACTCATTAAGACATGCCTTATTTTTCGCCTTTGTAAAATATTATAATTATGGACTTATAACTGTAGAGCCTGATGATAAAGTTATTGAAAAGAATTGTTCGCTCAAATATTCTTCGTTTTTGAATAAATGTATATTACATTTAGGCTAATCCCGTTTTAGTGATGGCGATAATAAGAAGTTAAATACGGACTAAAGTGGATGAGTTCATTTCATGTACTCGTTTAACCAGACAGACATAAAAAAAATGAGAAGTGGGAAAGTGAAGTAAAATAGACTGGAGAAAGCAATCGTGCCAATTCTCTTTTTAGCTAGACAAAAATGAGATAAAGACATGTTATGAATAAGGTCAATGAAAAACACACGCTAATCTAAAAACAATCAACGTTATAAGCGAATAATTGACAAGGTCAAAGTGTGACTCGAAAGCTAGGACAACCATGTAGGCGTTATATGGTGCTAGATGCTACGCTGATCACATAATCTGACAGAAACTCATTTTCACAGGTTGAAATTATGAGTCAATTGAAGCTAGGCCACCATGGAAAACCTGGAAGCACTGGACGGCCGTTTCGTCCTAGTGTGGGACTCCTCAGCAATGCGCACCCACGAACCCGCCCCCCGCGGGATTCGAACCCAGGACCAACTGGCTTCGCGCGCGAGCACTTAACCACTAGACCACTGAGCCGGCATCCAACGGTGTTAATGTCTAACTTCAACCAATCCACGAAGTTGCGCCACCGAACACCGTCCAGTGCTTCCAGGTTTTCCATGGTGGTCTAGCTTCAATTGACTCATGATTTCAACCTGTGAAATTTTTTAAAATCTCCACAAAACTCATTCTGAGAATCTCATTTTATCACAACCACTATGGCTGATATATCAATGACTCTTGGTATATAACCTTGTTTCTTATGTGACCATATAGCCATAACACAACAAGGATTCGAGTTGAAAATGTGGAGGATTTAATTCCGATTGATTGACCTAAATGAGTATCACCTTGACTTTGAAACTTCGTTGAGTTCAATTCCTTAGGTGGTGCACACTTTGGAACAATCATAAGCTGAAGAAACAGGTGTTTAGTGCTGTTACGGTCAAGCATATTTTTTTACTTTTCAATAAAAACAGATTTACACCGTGATAACACATGAATCGATAACTAATACAATTGCTATTCCCCTGTTGTTTTATGCCTTATTGAGCCTTATAAATATCAAAAAACAATACTTGACTGGTGACTGCAATATACCGTTATTTACAGTTAAGGGTTGTGGAAATTGTTGAGTTTTATTAGTCATGAACTGACTTAAATTAGACCACCATTGAAAACCTGGAAGCACTCGACAGCCGTTTTATCCTGGTATGATACTCTTCAGCGATGCGCATCTACGATCCAGAAACACACACCTCTTTTTAAACCAACCTTAAATTATAAATGAATAAATGATTTATGTTGATTGATTCAACGACGGAATTGACTGCCCCATAAAATTATTCGGACAATGTTGCATCATGAACCGAGATCTGTGGTAGGGAAATTACTGCTTTATCAATTGATAGCCTAAAATGTTGACTTTTAACTTCAGTAGTTTTTCATCAAATAATTTCTCGTTTACCCTGGTTCTTCAGCTCGTGTTGTCCAGTTCTATTTGAATTGATCTCTATAAACCAGCTAAACAAGCCACAGTTTTATTGATAATAAATAACAAACAAACTAATTTTTATTGTTACTAAACTACTGATTGTTTTTTTTTCTCTTCAGTACGAATAATCACGATGTACTTCTATTTACAACGCGATCTGAATCAATTCGTCTTGGTACACAATGTCTTCATGCAATCCGAAAATGTGTTGTTGAAAATATTTTGAAGAAAACTATGCGTCGCTCAATTAAATATCAATATCATAATAATGATAGTAATGATATGTCACTGACAACTAGCAATAACAATTACAATACATTGTTTCAAAATTGCATTTTACAAATCCACTTACCATCCCCAGTGAAAAAAGCAATTTTAAGGAATTTTGTAAATTGATATTTAATGTTAGGAAGACGGAAAAAAAGAGGTGGAAATAACAGTGATTGTACTATGGTGACATGTATATGTATGTTGCTTAAATGAACTCATTTGTTCCGTTTATATTTTCGCTTTGCTTTATTACCCTTGTTTTGTTGTAGTTATCTATTGAAACAATTACTTTTTTTAAAATATTTGTTTCGTTTCACTGAATCGAGTAACTTTTTATTTATAATATAAAAACAATTTAGCATTTCTATGATGTGGACAAACCCTACTCTTTGTATCTGTGCTCCTTACCCCTAAAACTATGTAATTGAACTTATGAATGTGCATGTTCTTTTATAGTATGTAATATATATAGTTTTAATCTTATTAAAATATGATAAATGTACTTGATTCTGATTGGCTTGAAAATATTGTCATACAATTGACCTTTTGTGTAGGTGGATGGATGGACTGACAGCAGGTTATCAAGCAACTATTATCGAATAAAACGATCAGAGATTTTCGAATTGTAAAATTTCTTGTTTTAGTTCTGTGTATATACTGTGTGGATCTGACTCATTTATGATTGTATTCTTGATAATTTGATAAAAAATATGTTTAGAATTGGGATTTGTAAAGATTGTAGTAATTTTAACAGTTGAATTCATGAGTCCATTTAAGTTAGATCACTGTTGAAAGCCTGGGAGCACTAGACGGCCGTTCCGTCCTAGTATGGGACAGACTACTTCATGAAGCCCAACGAGAGTTCAGAATAGACTAGTCTACTTGAGCGAGATAGCTGAACACCCTACTGGGACTAAAACATACCTGTTCATTTAATATCCATCGATTTCACAAGGTATTCGACACAGACAGTAGCGCACACACATTGTGATGAAGGTAACAACAATGTGCTTTCTGAGTCACTTTTATCCTGGCACCAGATTCCCTTGGAGAACCGAAGATTCCTCATCAAAGTAAAGAGATATCAGGAGCTTCACAGAAAGCCATTTTAGGTCCACTTCTCTTCCTGGTTTTTATTAACGACTTCCTAGATAAGACTAACCCACCGATGCTCACATGCGCCCATTCAGTAGATAGCTTCGAGTGGAGATGATAAACGCTTAGTCACCCATGAATTACCATCTCCCTGTTGGACTAGCTGTACTTGAGACATTGTCACATATCGTCGGCTTATTCGTAACTTGCTTATCATCATCTTTGTACACCTTATTTCCTTACACTTCGTTCTGGTCCGATTGTCTCCATTACTAATCAGTTAGCTTACATATTTATTTAATTCTTCTGATCATCGTTTTTTCCACTTCTCTGGATTCGAATGCTTTCCTTTATCATTTTTCGCGTTGAAGCCAACCAACCTCTTGCCTAGTAATGTGATAGCTTCTGGTTCCAGAAACCCTACTGCCCTGAGACAGACGTACTCATTCAGATTACAAGATATACAAGCTCACAAATAACTACAGAAATGACGAGAACTAGTGAAGTCAAGTGGCCATCTATTGGACATCATCAAAGATCTGGGACCGTTCCGAAACAACAAGAAACAAGCCCGAAGAAATCAATTGATTTACACAAGTAGATTGGATCAGCTTGTAAGATTTCCTCTTCATTATCTTCACCATGACTTTTGATTTATCTGAGCTGTTTAGTAAGATAGACTTGAATGCTATAGCGTCGTCTACTCCCAATCCCGACTTAGGTTGGATTATGCTGGCATTAGAAATTATGAAAAATAGAAATAAAAACCAATATTCACAGGTGTAATAAATAACAAATACAGCTCCTCTATCACAATTGATTTCGAGGCATTACTCTAACCACTAATTATGATTGTGGTGTGGACCCCAAACAAGTAGTCTACATCTATCAATAACTTTGTTCCATCCAACGCACAACTTAGCTAGCATCGAGGTAGGGTATGATTAGGCATTAGTAATACATGTTCCGATCACTCCAACCGATGAGGGTTTACAGACTCATCAACTGATTTGCCATCTTTACCCAGTACCACGTGTTTAACTTGATACAATTTTATGCTTTGATTTATCTGTTTGTAAAATGGTTACCATTAGATAGTTACCAAGCAGATGGATATCAGTTAGTCAAAATCCCATTATCATGAAATAACGAACTCCGCTAAATGGTATCAACATTAAGATAACGTAACATCGTTAGAAAATGAAATAAATCTTAATGTTTCGGAATTAATTACTCCCAAACGTGTTGTACAATGAATGAATTGAACTTTTAAAACTTATCACAATAAAATGTAAATTTGTTAAAACAGTAGTGTTTAAATATGCTCAATCACAGATACAGAACATGCTCTTCAGAAACTTCTGTAATTTCAAATATATGGTTTTATAAATATTCTCATTTTCTGTATGTAACTTAACCTTCATGATAAAACTTCTTTCCATACTTCCTGCTTATTGTTAGAAATTGAAGAGTTGATCATTTCTAGGAGCTGATGAGTCAATGTCTTACCAAATTTATTTATAATTGATTGATCACTGAGTGGTGATCAATGTCATGTATGCCAGGTTTTTCTTAGTGCAGATCAAATCCTATCGACTGAGTTACAATGTGGCTACTAGTCTAGGTGACTCGACATTGATCAATCAATTGCAAATACATCTCAGTCCTACAGGGAGTTGGTCGTGGCCCGGATAGCTCAGTGGTAACGTCTCCGACTGTGAAGCTGGGTGACATGGGACCTAATCCACCAGGGAGCGTCAGTTCCCTCAAGATTACAGGTACACCTTGCTGACGAGTGCCACGTAGCATGAAACCTTGGTCCAATGTCTCTTGTTAACAAATTTTTCCGTGAGGAAAATGATGAATTATAAGTTTCCAATAAATAATACAGACTTTTGTCAAGCTACAATTTATTTTAGATTTGACATAATTTGAAACTAATTTCAATAATATGATCGTGCTTAAATTCTAGATCATGTGAATAAGTTTATCATAAATGGTCATAGAAACATGTAAAACCTGTGATTGATAGTTAGTGATGAAAATATGTAATTCTTGACCCTTTAGTTTTAATGAAATAGCAGTTACTATCTTTATTAACGCAAATGGATTTCTAATATATCATAGTTTCGTGACATTGTGGAAATATTACCATTAATGGGTAATTGCCTTAAATTAACTATAAAATCCAACAATCTTTACAAGCCCTTCATATTATCAAGGTATAAGTATTTTTTCCTGGGATGAAACCAGTTATTAATAAGGTCATGTAATTTACGTTTATGTCTGATAACTTCTTTAAAACGTAGAATCAAATCATTTCTTCGAAAAAATCCAATCGCTTTGATATGAATTACTACTTGATATGTAACAGCAGTGGACTAGTGTTGATTTCTAAATCACATACTTTCTAATACTATCTTAATGTTCAGTATCCCTATATCTGATTACCATTAAACCATTTGCTGATTGTTATCGAAATATATATGCCGCCAACCCTCGTCCATAATCATCGAATTAAATCATGTCAGGTTCGTCGTCGGGCTCATCACTTTATTGGCCCTATATCTTTACGTCAATTAGATTGTGCGATAATGCTATCAACGGGCTCAATACTTTAGTGACTCGATATCTGACTTCAGTTATTTCATATGATGATTGTTATTGAGATATACGAATTCAAAATCCATTCTCGTATTTGACTTATTTAATTTCGTTATTTATTAACGCGATTTAAGTCGTTAATCATATATGGGAGTTGCCGGTATGTATATTTCGATAACAAATCATCATACGATTTAATTGGAGTGAGATATAAGAATACTAAATTCTTGAACCTCACTACGAACCTAACGCAGCCTCTCAAACTACGTTGAAGAACCTTCCACACTCCGTACCTTCGACGAACAGACCCAACATAGCTTACTCAATCGACAACCTCATCGATTATCTCATCAAACCACTGCTAAAGTGGTAAGCCCCACTTCGAACTAAACTCACCCTGCAAATCTACGCAGACAATGAACATCTCGAACTCTACGCATCCAATAAACGAACTAAGGGAATGACTTAATCGACAGGCAACTCAAACGACTCAATCTTCAATCCGACGCATTTGGGGAAGCTGGTATGGCAACGACACGGACATGCTTAAATCATATTATTTTATCGGTACTTTGTCCTCGTATCAACTCTTCTCACTGATCTGTTTGGCAGATCATTCAGTTACGATTTTAGCAATGGTCATATTCTCATTATTACATTATTGTCATATTATCACCTAACGTCAAAGTATTGTTGCTGTTTGTATTGACATTTAATCATGACATTTACCCAATTATATCATTTACCCATCAAATTATAATTTTATGAATATTCCATTCATATTATGACATTTGAGACTCGCTGGACTATTATTATTATTTAATAACGTAAAATTTTCCTGCTTTCGGTGAGCTAGTTCAATTTTTCTCGTGTCATTTTTGTCCTATTATAACACTCATTCCCATCGTTCGGGTCATTTTTATGTTATAATCCCATATATTTTTCATTTCGGTATCGTCTCATATTATGTTTGTGGATGCCTTTAACATCACTAAGTGATGAGTAACGAATTATGTTCATTATATCTATTCGTTCACATGCATAACTGCAGGCTCCAAGATTTATTATCTATACACATTTGACTACTGCAATAAATATTTTATTCCCATCGCACTGTATATCAGATCATATAGTTTAGAGCTGGTCCCTCAAGGGTACACTCTTGTTTATTCTTTTATTTGAGCACATAAATCCTGGTACAATAGGGCACCAAATGCATATGCGCCAAAAAATAAACACGAACCCAGTAGCAGTTATCATCGATGTGCGTGAGTGTTGTGCCACTACCCGGGTGCCCAAACGGAAGCAGGTGGTTTTCTAAAAGGGCCACACCTAAAGGTCTGATCCACTAGGCAGTAGCCCTAAATCTTGCTCCAGTTAAATCGTATGATGATTTGTTATCGAAATATTCATACCACCAACCCTCATATATGATTAACGACTTAAATTGCGTTAGTGAATAACAGCATCAAATAAGTCAAATACGAGAATGAATTTTAAATTCGTATGTTTCATACAATCGTGGATCTGGACAGACAATCAAGGAAACGAAGCGAGACGGATAGGAGAAGACATGTGAACCAATTCCATTTAATCAAGTGTTAATCAATATTTGTATTCAGACAATAATAAGTTACAGATACATAATAAATAAGGTAAGTAATTAACACACATATAAAAGCAGTCAAGATCAATAAGTAACAGGGTCGAAATGTGGATTGAGGAGATTGAATAAATTGGTATGTCTAGAAGTTAGAATAACCTATGTAAGTTTGACATAGTACTAGCCCCTGGAAAGTCCCCCTGTATAGATAAAACAGCACATTTATTGGAAAAAAATGTGTTTTCGAACTTAACACTGAAGAGGTACGTGGATAGCGTTAACAATAAGTTCATCAGCAACATAAACTACAACAAGATCAGGAAGAAGAGTACACTGGCCAGATAGGTATGTAGCAACTACCATA